TTTTTTAGAGAGAGAAAGGGGAAATTCTGAAATTGGAGGTTTTTTAGAGAGAGAAAGGGGAAATTCTGAAATTCGTCGTCACCCATCACCGTCGGGATGTCGGATTACAACCTCGACGGGCATCACCCATCACCTGCCTTGCGCCGCCTATCATCTAAAATTCGTCGTCGCCATCATCGTCCGAGTTAGACTTGGTGGTGGCAAAGGTCCGAGTTAGCACCTCCACTGGCGACACACCACCATTACCATACCACCACCTCCACCAACGTGGTCTTCAATTTTAGGTTGAGTGTGTGTCCACTGGTGACACACCACCATCACCATACCGCCGCCACCTCCAACGTGGTCTTCAATTTTCGGTTAAGTGTGTGTGTGCGCGCGTGTGTGTATATATATATATATATATATACATGACTCTCCAGAAAAAAGTCATTTTAATTGTATAATTTAAATAGGGGTATAATAGTAATTAGGTTATCTGATACTTTGGAATAAGTATGATTAAAAAATTAAGGACAAACATGTCTTTTCCCATGTTTTTAACGGAGGCTGTAACGGAAAAGTGAAAATGGACCTAAGTGATAGTTATTTCGAAAGATATTTTAGACTGATATTTGGCCAAACTACTGGGGGTGTCAGTGAAATTATCCCAAAAAAAAATCATAATTGATACTTATAATAAAAAAAATATAGTAATAATAATAAAAAAATGGTGTGATTATGTGAGATTTGTAAACCGGACAAGTTTGTAAGGTTACAAATACCCAATTAGTAAGAGTAAAGTAGAATAAACAAAATTTGTAACTACTCCACTTACCATCAGTGTTTTATGGATGGACTGTATTTGATAATTATTATTTACTCTCATATTTCAATTTGTAATTGCATATATATATCAGTTTGAATTTTTGTCATTGTATTAAATACTTTAGAAAGAATTTCTAAGCACTCCAACCAAAAAGCACAAAAAAATTTCTAAACTCGAATTCAATATGTGTGACCGGTGCATTATAAAACAAAATTTCTAAAAGTCAAGAGATAGGCGGTCTTTCTCGACCCTTACGACCCGGTTGAGTTTGTATGGCACTTATTAGGACGGTTATAGTTTGACTCGAAATTGGCATTGATAAGACGAATGAGTTATTATGAGTATTGGGATTATTTAATTATCAAATTAAGAATGATCAACTTATAACGTTGGGTTTGAGTTTCAATTAATGTAACGCGCAGATCCGCACTTGGCGGAACCTAACATGCAAAAGGCCAATTTTTGGAATTGGAAAATTTTAGAATCTTCATTTGCATATGCCAATACTATTCATTCAAAGTTGATTATTCAATGTCTTCACTGTACCAATTTTGTATTGGGCTGGAGACAACTGTTGGTATGGAAATACTGAAAAAGCAAGTCAAGAAGTGTCTCTAGAATCCTCCTTACATAAAAACAATTTTGAAATTGAGGTTTGTGTCCGGTCTTTTCTTCCAAACTCATAAACTAGAGAAATATGGAAAATAATATAATTATGAATCTATTATCTTTTAGTGACAAAAATAATATAATTATGAATCTATTTGGGTTAAAAATAAAAACAATATTTTTGCTATGGTAGTGTTTTGAAAAAAAATTGAAAACACTCAATCTCAGAAAAAGTGAAGTATGATATATATCAAATTCAACGTTCAGGAGTACTGCAGGTAACAACGGTGGTATTTGATAAATTTAATCAGCAGCCACCTAAAAAGACCTAGAAACCACCCACACATAGATTACTTTCAATGGTCTATCTAATGAATATGCACCCTTAGTCTGTCAGGGCCTCGCATTGTCAGGGCTAATGCTCATGTCGTCATGGAGAGCAAAGATTCCGACAGGCATAGGAAGGGGAGGTTGGAGACACTACATAGATGGAGCGGCAGGGCTAATGCTCTGCGCCCTACAGAAGGCTAGAATTACGAACCCGGGAGTTTGAATAGCTAACGGGGTCCTTACCCGAACCCAAGGTCAATTAAGGACAACACCGTCATTTACTTGGTGTGCAACAACATTTAGCTAGTGAAGAAATACATTCGTGTTTGATTTCTTTAACCAATTATCTTAATACAATCTACTTAATCCAAGCATACATCCCATCCTCCTCGTATATTCAAATTAAGATGTCCATCCATGTGCACTGCTTCTATCGCGAATACAGCTTACTGTCAGATTTAGGTGTAAACCACAAAGACTAATTCTACCAGCCTAGCGAATTTCAGGGCAAATCATGTTCACTGGATGAGGAGTTCGGGAATTATGTTTTGCTATGGAAATGTTGGAGTGTTTTAGCACTATGTATGATTTTGGGCCATGAACAATTGTCAAAATAAGAAAAAAGTAACTTTTTGGCATTTTGGTTTTGGGGTACTGTTCACGAAGTGTTTTAACACTGTGTCAAAAAAAAAAAAAAAAAAGTTACATCAAACATGATTTTGTTGCCAAAATCGACATTGTAGCAGCTCAAAAACAAAAATAGTAGAAACAAAATACATGCCAAACGGGCCTTATCTTTTAATGATAAAAGTTCTTAGAGTGTGTTCGATTGCATAAAATTAAAATTTATTCAATTGCAAAAGTTTAATTCCATACCGCTGAACGTACATTTAAATTTTATTAATTTAAATCGCAACAAAAAATTGAACGTTTTGTATCATTACTCAATACCTAATAATTTATACTTTTTAATCCAAGACTTGACATGCAATTAAAGTATTCTCTCATGATTTTGCTCTTTCCTTTTGATAGCACGTGTTGAGCTTATTTTATGTAGTTTAATTTTTGGGTATAAAATTAACTCACTCACAAAAATAAATTCCTAATAAGGTTCGATTCCTTTATTTTATTATTTATTTATTTTTTTGAAATATTGTATTACATTCTATAATCGAAGTGTATAATAATAAAATCAATGTCCAAAATAATAAATGCACTGAACTCCATTTTTGGGTTGTGCTTTGTGTTTGGTCCAAACTCAAAAGTTCTATTAAAAGCCAAGCCCCATTTTCAATGTGATTCTTAGACCACGTGGAGAAGGTATTTTTAGGCCTTTTCAAATGGTTGGCTAAGGACTACCCAACAAATTTATTAATTATTTTTAGTTAGGCATTTACTACATATAGTCACGCCCGTTTGGAGTTATTGTCGGAATTAAAAAAAAGTATTTTTATCAATAGAGGTGTAAAAAATTTGCAGTTAATAAAAAATTGGTGATATATTATAATAAATATTTTTTTTATTAAATTATTTATTAATTTATTTGGTAACAATTTTTTTAAAATACTTCTATTGCAAATTTTACAATAATATCATTTAATATGATGTTTATCATATTTGATAATAGCAATTTTATTGTGGAAGAAGTGTAATTGTCGTTATAAAAAATAAAATGAATAAACAAAATTGTCTAATGAAAAAAGAGTTACCAAAATTATTCAACCTTTGTTCAGAACGCAATTTTATAAGGTACAAATTATAGATTCATTCAAACACTCTACTGAACTAAATTTGACAATCATTTAAAGCACTTTGATGATTACCAAACATATCTAAATGTAATTTTTTTAAAAAATAAAAGCGCTCTTAAACAATAGCGTAGCAATCCCAAGCGAACCCTGCTTTGAGAAAGGAGAGAGTATACTGACTGAGCTAATTGGCTTGAGGATAATGATTTGGAGTCCCAATAAATCTGATTGATTTATGTGAGTGAGGGTTGATATCATGACGATGTTATTAATATCCTTAACGTCATGATGACATCAACTTTTAGACTCCGTTCATTTCAACGTAAAATATTCTTTTTGAAAAATATTTTTCTTTTTCAGATAAAATATTTTTTTATTTTTACTTTGTCGGTGTTTTGCAAAGGTGTACGTTGAGGTTGAGGTCGGGTCCATCGGGCGGGACATGCAAAATAACTTGCTGAAAATTGATGAATAAATTATTTTTGTTAAATTTTAATATATATTTTTTTCGTAAATATTTTATAATAACCAAACACAAAAAAACGTCCAAACTAACGAAACTTACTCAAACAAATGTATCATTACTCTTGTCTTAATGGTGTCACCCAACACATTATCTATACAAAATTTATTTATTTATTAATATATTTATTTTTGCAAATCCGTGAATCGTAATGCAGAAATTACAAACAAGTTATTGTATAGGATAGAAGAAACTGAAGTTTAACCAACATTTTCATGGAGTCTAATTATAATTTGGGATGTAGATGGACTAACACGAAAAGCCCAAACTGAGTCCAGGACTATAATATGATGTGCTCCTAAAACACTGACTTCACACTCTATTATCCAAAGTTTCCCTTAAACCACAAATTATTTAGTTCTTTATTTTGTTCAAATATAACTGAAGTTTTGTTTGCTTTAGATTCGACCACGTGAATATAGTATGAAACGTTTTCATATAGGAAAGTTTATTTCATTGACTCAAGCGACATTATTGATGATTAATAGAGGCATGTGAATAATCGAGCAAATAGCAAAGCTCTTTCATTTATTCCATTCTTTTCAGCATCCTCGATCAATGAGAGCTAACATCTTAACTCATGCATCAATTCTTATATATATATATATATATATAAACACACACATATGCAAAGGCTTGTTGAACACGGTGCATTAAAGTCTTGGGCTCACACACACACATATATATATATATAAACACACACACATATGCAAAGGCTTGTTGAACACGGTGCATTAAAGTCTTGGGCTCACACACATATATATATATATATAAACACACACACATATGCAAAGGCTTGTTGAACACGGTGCATTAAAGTCTTGGGCTCTTTTGTTCATTCAATCAACAATCCTCCAATATTTTCGAGACATTGCGCACCGAATGCACTAGCATTTTTATCCCCCAAAACTACCCTCAAAGGCAACATATTAACTATGAAAATAAAAAAAAATACTCCAAAAAAAAAAAAAAACTATGAAAATACATTTGCACCATTACAGTAGTTTTTTCACATTAAAATTCCATTTTTGGTAAAGGAAAACATTTGCAACTCCGTACAAAATAAAAACAAGACTTGTTACGAAAAGAAAATTATTTCCTTTATTCACGTCCGAAAACTAAATCCCCAAAAGAGGCCCATTGGGCCTGATTAGCGTTTGGGTGCCTTTATGTAGGCCAGATGTTTGGAATTGGCGACTTTTGAAAGAGTCTTCAAGTCATAAGCAATCCAACACATAGAAGTGTCTTGATGATAGAAAAAGCCCAAACACATGCAATCCTTTGTGCATTTATTCGAGCAGTCATTCTCCTTCATGGGCCCATCTCCCTTTGTGTACTTCGTACTCATGAAATGGTCCACCCCTACTATTTTGTAGTAGTAAAAATCATTCACCCCACAAGAGGTGACCTTCTCGGGCTCACAATCCTTGGTCCAACCCACCAACCCATTGGGCTTGGGGCATGCAAAACACTGGTTGTCCGCACAAAGCCCAAATCTCCCGCACCGCTCCGGCAACTGGCACTCACTTTCGATTATGGAGTGCTTGTCAAATAGGGTACTGGTCACCTCCCATGCTCGATTGTCCACCTTGGCGTTGTAAGTGTAAAACTTGAGGTTTCCGTCCATCTCCAACCTGACAAACGATAACGTGGCATTGTAGTTGGGCCTAGCCCAATTGGAGCTCCCTAGCCCTCCATCACTCACTTTGAAATCGAATTGTAGGAAATAGGTATCACCATAATCTGGTACACAACTAAATTTCACATACGCGAAACTGTGACTTGTAAGACTAAACAGCTTTAAAGTTGTAAAATAAACCATTGGTGTAGGGGAGTTGATGCTCTTGTAATACATTGCCACCCATTTGGGCTCAAGTACCAAGCTGTAAGGCCCATTACTGTTGCCTGCAGCAGAAGCCCGGCTGACAAGTTTAGTGGGCCCTCTGGACGTAAGAGACTGTCCCACCAAGAGAGTGTCAGTTGGGTAGTCAAAGCTTTGCCATATGAACTTATCTCGAGAGTCATGAAGGACCATGTTACCATTGGGGAGTAATTTGAGGCCAACGACACCTTTGTTGGCAGTGCCGGTTTGCCAAGCAATCCGGCCATTCGCATCGGCCAAGACAAGGTTTCCGTCGCTGCCGAATGTAAGCGTGGCTTTTTCGCGAACCGGGTTGGCTCGGTTAGCCTCCCATACCCATCGCAACACCGAGTAGGACCTCAACGTGCCCATACGTAGAGCTAGGGTGAAGGCATTAGGGGTGGTGTTGAAGAAGCAAAGTTGGAATGGGGAGTTGAAGATACTACTAAGGTTGCGGTAATTCCCACCATATTCTGTTCCGTAATCGCCATTATCGCCCAATTCGCCTTCATTGACATACTTGAACTGCTTGGAGGGAGGAACAGAAGCTTGAGATATGGAAAAAAATATTAGCAAGAATACAGAGAACAATGGCTTCCAACAAGACATTTCAGCTAGCGGTGTTTGCTTTTATCGCAGCACTGTCTTTTGCAGATAGATGGTTTTATAGGTGATGAGGAAGGGTATTTCAGTCACTATATTATTATACAGATATAAAGAAATTAAAATATTCTTAATCATTGCCTCAATAGCTATTTAATTGACACCTAAAACTTTTTGAGCCTTTAGAGTCCCCTATGACTTTGAATTCAAAATAAAACGGCCATTCTTTCGAGAAATTAAGGACTTTTCTGGTGGAGGGCGTGGGTAGTTTTGATTTGTAGAAACAAAGACCTGAAATGTTCCACTTTTTGCCCAAATTGTGGAATTCAAGTCTTTCAAATGGCTTGAAAATACAAGATTATCCTCATAGAGTAACAACAATTTCACACTTCGCTGCACCCAAAAACAAACCGTCTCATCAACTCTCTCTCCCACACACACTCGCCGCGCCGGGGGGTAAAGAAAAAAATAAAAAATATCCGGAGCGAATTGGGGTGGTGAGGTAAAGAAAAAAATAAAAAATGTCCGGCACATCACCAGCTTGTATATATGTGTCTACACTACCTTTATTTACTGCATATATAAATAAATAAATAAATATCTTCAAAAATAAAAATTAAGTAGGTAGAAGTGTATCGAACATGTTGGATATTATTATTACCTGATAATTTGAAAAAAAAAAAAAAAAATAGGATGAAAAAATTCAGTTATAAGAACAAAATTGAAAAGTAAAAGAGGTCTGATGGGCTACAATCATGAGTATTGATTTATAGTGAGTCCACTTCGGATTCCCCTGGTGGTCCAATGTCCCATTGCCTGACAGATATTAATGTCTTCTGCAACCTAACGGACCTGTGATGTCCGTCTCAGTCTCTGACATACAATAATAACGTCTGCAACAACTTGCAAATCTTAATGGGCGTTTTTGAGAGCGAGACCCACTACATGGTAAAAAGGCCTGAAGGGCTGCTCAAGCCTCACGATCTCAGCCTTACTCAAAACTTATAATTTTGAGAATAATTTTTTAATTTAAAAAAAAAAAAATTTATTTAGTTTATTTTTTTAAAAATTCAGTTATAAAAATGATTGTTTTTAAAGAATTGTCTTTTAATATTTTTTAAAAATTATTTTTCATTTTCTAAATTTTTAAAAATTATTTTAAAAATTATAAACAAAGCAAGTCTTATGTATTTAATTAAGTGACAATAGAGTTCTTTAAAGGTTGTAAAAAATTTCTTTAAACTTTAAAACTTTTCTTAAACTTCATTTTATAACATGCACGTTGTCGTATAGGTATGAATGATTCAAATCGTTGGATTGTTACATCATAATTGTTTTAATTTGTGTTTGAATCTTTTGTCGTTACGACAGATATGCATGTTGAAATATTGATGCAATAATAATTGAAAGGTTTTCTTCTTAAAAAAAAAGAATCGTTTGTCATTACGGCAGATATACTTGTAGTCAAATCCTTTGTCATTACGGCAAATATGCATGTGCAGACTCTGTCCATGTACAACGTCCTATACGCATTGCCCTATATCCAAGTCTCTGACAGATAGTAATGTATGCCACAAATTTGCAAATAGAAAAATTACTACATGATTTCAGTCTATTATGCCTAATTGAATAAAATTGAGGCTAGAAATTCTCCGGAAACATTTGACTCAGAGATCATGTATTATTTTCTCGGACTTTTATATCTCAGTGGTAGACAGATTACATGAAATATGATTACAGGTGCAAAATGTTTTTTTTTTTTTTTTAAATTTTTAATTAGAACAAGGATACAAAGAAAACGGAGAAACCCAAAAGGAACAACTTCACCCAAGAAGAGGATGAAGATCATTGCCAATAACAGAGAGGAGCCAACCAGGCCAAATATCCCAAGACGACGAAACCCAAAATGGTAAAGAGAGTGAAATGCCAAGAACTGTGATACATTACCATTAATGAAAATCTTCCCACTGGTGCACGCAATGAACAAACTCCACAAAATATGTCAATATCCAAAATTCTATCCATAACAAATTGTATAGTTTATATTTATTCTTTTTCAGTAGGGGCCAGACTTTAATTCTCTTACCTAAAAGATAGGTTAAATAATTATCTGATTCATTGATTCTGATGTTGTCACCGTACTAATATAAGAAAAAGTTAGATGGGGGTCCCAAAAATTTGCTGGATGCATGAATGCTCAAAACACTCTTGCATAGATAGTCAAAACACTCTTGCATAGATAGTTTTATTCTAGTAATATATATTTTTTTTTTTTCTTTTTTTTTTCTTTTTTTTTTTTTTTTTTTTTTAAGTTATTGGTCCCAGGTTCAAGTTAATGTTTACCCAAGAAACATTTTTTATTTCTTTTTATTTTGAAATTTCGTGCAACTGATATGTATATGAAAATTTTGCAAAAAAAAAATAAAAAAAATATGTATATGAAAATAATTACAGAAAGGGCGCACCAATAGGCCACCAAACAGCCCATTGAAAGGACTTAGAAGCAAGCCCATTCATCTGTCATCATCTTCTTCTTTTCTCCCCTCAACGTACTTTAAATTAAAAATCATCAAATAATTATTGGATCTAGTTAGAGATATATGATGTGTGGATACATTATGTACTTAAATAAGCTTTCGTAGCCCAGCTTCGACTACTTTAAAAAAAGAAAAAAAAAATATTAGTTAAATAAACAAAAAGCATTAATTTGCAGATTTGGTTAATTTGGGGGACACAATATTAAATTCTTGGTACATTTATTGCAGATATTTATGATACTATATTCAATGAATATCTACGTGTCAATTGAATATAGTAAAATAAGCTGGCATCCACCCCAAGTTCACAACAGTTCATTTTGCAGTCATGGCCTGTTTAATTTACTAGCACTTTTTTTTCTTTTTTCTTTCTCCAACACTACTGTAAAAGGAAACCTTTTATTTTATTTAATAAAGAATTACATATTAACCATGAAAATACATTTGCACAATAACACAGGTAATTCCAGAAAAAGCAGAAACAAGCTTTCTAACAAAAAGGAAATTATTTCCTTTTATTCATTTCCAAACACCAAAACACATGTCATTCCAGAAAAAGCAGAAATAAGCTTTCTAACAATGAGGGAATTATTTCCTTTTATTCATTTCCGAACACCAAACCCACAAAACAAGGCCCACTGAGCCTGATTAATGTTTGGGTGCCTTTATGTAGCCCAAATGTGTGGAATTGGCAGCTTTTATGAGGGTCTTCAAGTCATAAGCAATCCAACACAAAGAAGTGTCCTGATGATAGAAATAGCCCAGACACTTGCAGTCCTTCGTGCATTTGTCCCCGCAAGCATTCTCCTTCATGGGCCCATCTCCTTTTGTGTACTTGCTTATGAAATGCTCCACCCCTACTATTTTGTAGTAGTAAAAATCATTCACCCTACAAGACCTCACCTTCACGGCCTCACAATCTTTGCTCCAACCTACCAACCCATTGGGCTTCGGGCATGCAACACACTGGTTGTCCTCACAAAGCCCAAATTTCCCGCACCTTTCCGGCAACTGGCACTCTGTTTCGTCGTTGGAGTCTCTGTCAAATAGGGTATACGTCACCTCCCATGCACCAATGTCCACCTTATCATTGTAAGTGTAAAACTTGATGTTTCCGTCAATCCCCAACCGGAGAAATGATAACGTGGCATTGTATTTGGCCCTACCCAAATAGCGGTTCCCAGTACTTGAAGGGCCGGTCACACTGTAGTCAAATAATAAGTTATAGGCACCACCAGTATCTGGTTCACTGTTAAATGTCACACTCTCTAAACTGCCTTGACTGATAGTAAACAACCCAGAAGATGTAAAATAAAGCATGGGCTTGGGGGAGTTTCTTGTAATACAATGCCAACCATTTGGGCTCCAGTACCAAACTATAAGGCCCATTAACATTATCAATAGCCGACGCCCTGCTGATAAGTTTAGTGGGCCCCTTGGCCTTAAGAGACTGGCCCACCAAGAGAGTGTCAGTTGGGTAGTCAAAGCTTTGCCATATGAACTTATTATTGGAGTCAAAAAGGACCATGTTACCATTAGAGAGTAACTTGAACCCAACGACACCTTTGTTGGCGGTACCGGTTTGCCATGCAATCCGGCCATCGGCATCGGCCAAGACTAAGTTTCCGTCGCTCCCAAACGTAAGGGTGGCATTTTCACGAACTGGGTTTCCCCTGTTAGCCTCCCATACCCATCGGAACAGTGACTCAGACCTCGTCAAGCCCATGCGTAAAGCTAGGGTGAAGGCATTAGGAGTGGTGTTATAGAAGCAAAGTTGGAATGGGGAGTTGAAAACACTAAGAGTACGATAATTTCCATCATACTCTATTATGTAAGGACCGAATTCGCCATCATTGACAAATTTGAACTGGTTGGAGGCAGGAACAGAAGCTTGAGATATGGAAAAAGAGGATAGCAAGAATAAAGAGAACAATGGAACTATAAATGGCTTCAAAAAAGACATTTCAGTAGTGTTTGTTTTTTTTTTTTTTGCTGTGTGACTGCAAAAGCAGATATCCTTCATTTTATAGGTGATGAGGAAGGGTATTTCAGTAACTATATTATTTTATATATATATATATATATATAGATAGACACACGGCACCAACTGTGGGGGGAAAGTACACAAGCACTTATAATTGTGGCAGCCTTATTTAAAAAGTATTGAAAAAGCTATCATAAAGTAAGGAAGAATTAGTGTTTATTAAAGCTGACTCGAATTTATATTAATTTTCCAGCTAAAATTTGTGTAAAAATCACAAACAAAATCGGTGGTTCAAATTTGTTGACAACCTAAATGTAAATTAGTCCCATTCTACATATTTGTTAACATTTTAATGCAAAACTTTGGATCGAATCAAGTTATTTAATTTTTTAAAAGAAAAAAAAAAAAATTATATATATATATATATATATATATATAATCTTGTGAAGTATATAAAAAATGTTGGATTCAAGTAGTCCTTACTATATAATTTATAAAAGACCGCACAGGAAGAACTCCATTA